AAATACCAGGCCCACAGCCTTTTACAGGTGGATTTCTTCAAAACCTTCAAAAACATGTAATCTTATAATATGGCAAAAGAAAAGCAACCCAACTCAGTTACGAGAATAGAACAATGTTTTCTATTTCCTGGGCAATTCAGTGCTAAAGCCATGAAGTGGAACAGAGCAAGATACATGTGGGAGGGGAGTGAAAGGCAAGGGGCCCAGGAGGGAGCTGGAGGCCCAGGCATTGACAGGTGGGTATATCCTCAGAGAAGGGCAGTTCCTGTGGGATGTCAGCTCAGCACTGGGGAGCAAAGGGCATCCCCATATGGGAGGGTGTAGCAGCCATAAAAGGAGACTGGTTACTTACAGGGGGATTGATCAAATCAACATTGTAAGGATAATAGGATCTGAGTTACTCATTGTTGGAGAGAAGATAGGTACAAATATAGAGAGGGGCAGAACTAGAAGAACTGTGTGGTGTTAGAATGGAAATGATGTTATCAATGTAATCTCAGAGTTTTCAGTAGATAATAGACAGATCCAGAAAGTAAGGAAGTGCTCAGAATGATGCGGGCATGCTGAAGACACACAAGTCAGCTTAAAAAGGTTCCCACTGGCCAAATCAGGGATGATTTGAGTATCAAAAGACATAATGATAGTAAAAGATTATAACCCATGAGTCTACACAGACAAAAATAGACAATGAATAAATTGAAAATTTGGTGAGGAATATTTACAAAGTCTCAAAGTATCTCCACGTAACTTATTCATTTATTACAAAGGGACACAGACAATTTCACAGAGGAGGGGAATGGTAAAAAACAAAAACAAAACCTCTTTAGGCAAAGTGATCAAAATCACCAAACAACAGGACAAATTGAAATTTTGTGCCACTGATAGGATCCAAAAGAGAAAAACACAGCATCACTTCTATGGTATTCCTGCTGAGATGCATAACTTGAATCTGATCATGAAGCAACAGCAGACAAATTCCAACTGCAGATGTTCTACAAAATAACAGCCTGTAGTCCTCAAGTGTCGAGATCATAAAAGTCAAAGAAGGACTAAGGAACTGTTTGCAGACTGAAGGAGAATAAAGAAACATGATAACTAATGCACTCAAATAGCTCTGGGGGATAAAATTCCTTGCACTGTGCTTGCAACTTTTCTGTAAGTATGGGTATAAATAAAAAGTAAGTGTAATCTCAAAGCCAATAATGCAATACAATATAGGAAAATTAGAGGCTAATTCCCCTTATGACCAAAACCAAAATTTATAAGTTTTTAGCAAATAAAAAAACAAATTGTTTTAAAATGTATCATCCACAAGAAGGATTTGCCCCAGGATTGTTAGATATCAGAAAAACCTATCAGTGTTACTATACTAAACTTCATTAAAAAGTATACTGAATTTACAGAGTAAAAACAAAAATTTAATCACATTAGCATATTAATAAAGAACATGATACAAATTTTAAAAAACTATTATAATTTTTCTAAATATCTCTAAGCAAGCTAGGAACAGGGGGGAAATTTAAAAATACAAGTAAAGATATTTATGGGGAAAAAAAACTAAAAGCAAACATAGTTGATACAAAACCTTAAAAATGATTCCCTTTAAAATCAGGAACATCCTTGAGGCCTAGTGTGCCACTTAAAAAAAAGAATGTATTGCAGTTCTAAGCCAATGCAAAAAGTCAAGACCAAAATAAAAGCTGTAAGAATTGAAAAGGAGAAAAACCCCTTATATTATAATGCCATAGAATTAGAATAGCATGGTATTGGCAAAAGAATAGGAAATCATATAAATCGATTTAGTCCCAGCCAAAATTCATTTATATGGGAGATGTATATAATAGAGAGCATATTATAAATCACTGTGGATAAACTGAGAAGTTGGTGCTAGGCAATCCATGTAGGAAAAAAATGAAAATTATATCCATACCTCATATCATATACAAAGACATATTAAAAACATAAATGTGAGAATCAAAAATTTTTAACACTTACTAGGATCAGGAAGACTTTTTTTAGAGCACTACACAAAAAGCATAGCCCTTAAAAATAAAACACTGATGATTTTGACACATTAAAACCAAATCATCTGTATGACCAAAAAAAAAGTGAAATGTGACAAGCTGTTTGCACTAGATATGACAAGGGATTAATATGCAGAATATATAAAGAAATCTTACAAATCAATAAAAAATAGAAAAAGTCTAACAGATATAAAACTTGATGGCAAAAAAAAACCCCAAAAGATACTTAATGTCACTAGTAAACTAGAGGTGCAAGTTAATACTACAATAAATTATCACTACATACCCACAGTAGGGCTGGAAGGGCTAATTTTTATAAGGGGGGTCAGTGAAAAAGAACTCTAAAATATTGGTAGATTGTAATTTAACACAAGCTCAAGAGCAATTTGGCAATGCCCCATGATTGCTCTAATTATTTCTGACTAGAGAAACTCACATGTGCCTAAGGAAGCAGTATACACTGTAGGCAAACTGCAAAAAATTGGAAAGAACCTGACCAACCATTAGGAAATAGATAAACAAACTGTTACTTTTTCTCCACATGAAAGAACAACTATAAACAATAAATCAGACCTTTGTGGCTAAATGTCATATACAAGGTGAGTTAAAACAGCAAGTGGCGGGCGCCTGGGTGGCTCAGTCGGTTGAGCGACTGCCTTCGGCTCAGGTCATGATCCCAGGGTCCTGGGATTGAGTCCCACATCGGACTCCCTGCTCTGCGGGGAGCCTGCTTCTCCCTCTCCCACTCCCCCTGCTTGTGTTCCCTCTCTCGCTGTGTCTCTCTCTGTCAAATAAATAAATAAAATATTTAAAAAAAAAAAAAAACAGCAAGTGGCAAGAGTATAGTATAATGCGCCCTGTATGTCATAAAAGCTCATAAAATGCTACTATATATTGTTCATATATGTGTGTATGTGTGTGTGTGTGTGTGTGTGGGTGTGGGTGGGTGTGTGTGGGAGGGGGTAAAAGCATTATATCATACAATGGAATGATAATCCACAAACTTTTGACACCTCTGGGAAGGGTAAAAAGACACAGGGCTTCATCTGGCCTGTAATGTTTTACATTTTACATTTTAAAATCTTAGTAGGGGGGATGCCTGGGTGGCTCAGTTATTATGCATCTGCCTTCTGCTCAGGTCATGATCCCAGGGTCCTGGGATCGAGCCCAGCATCCTGGGATCGAGCCCAGCATTGGGCTCCCTGCTCCACGGGAAGCCTGCTTCTCCCTCTCCCACTCCCCCTGCTTATGTTCCCTCTTTCCCTGTCTCTCTCTGTCAAATAAATAAGTAAAACCTTAAACAAAAAAAATCTCTTAGTAGGAAGAGCATGTGACTCTTGATCTCAGCATGGTGAGTACAAACCCCATGTTGGATGTAGAGATTGCTTAAAATAAATAAAAATTTTAAATAAGTAAAAAATAAAATCTGAAACAAAATGGTAATTCATTAAATTGGTAAACTGTTAACATCTCTATGGAAAAGTGTGGGAGTGGGAGAAGAGATCTGCCTCAGACAACTGATCGTGGGTTCTGCGTAATGATAGTTTTCACCATACAGATGAAAACACCAGTGCTAAAACACTCCAGAAGGGAAAGCAGTTAGTGAAGTAAGGGACCAGTAAGCAGGATGCTCAATCACAAGGTAATTTATACACTGAAATAAAATGCAAACCAAGAAGCAATGCCTTTGAGGACCAATTATATCCCATTGATGAAATAAATGCAAATTCCAATTTAAGAGAATGAAATAAAACACAGTAACCTGGGGTGCCTGGGTGGCTCAGTAGGTTAAGCATCTGCCTTCGGATCGAGCCCCACATCAGGCTCCCTGCTTGGCGGGAGGCCTGCTTCTCCCTCTCCCACACCCCATACTTGTGTTCCCTCTCTCTCTCTGTCAAATAAATAAAATTAAAAAACAAAACAAAACACAGTAACCTATCACATTCTTCCATACCACTACAAACCCACCATAGACTCTTCTAGATGGCATTTAGTCCAGGGTTGATCAAATTCATTTTTTTTTAGCTAAATTATCTCATTTCAGGGTTAATTTGTAGTACCTTCTCAAACAATTATACTTATTCACCCCCTGAAAAATTATTTGTTGAGTCTCTGAATATAAGCAGCATTTTGCCAGAGGCTATGGAGGAATACAATGGGAAGAGACTGGAAGCTCTTTTCTTCAGACTCATTTAATCCATGCAAAAAACTATGATATAGTTACTGTTTTTCCCATCTTACAGGTAAATTGAGATTCAGAGAATTTAAAATGTACCCCAAATCACCATGCTGACACAGCATGAGCCCTAATTCAAATTCCGTTTGTCAGACAACCTCAAAACCCATACCTTTTCACTATACAGTTAGCTCTCAAGCCCAGGGGAGATCTTTTGTCTCACTGTCCTGCTCTACTTTATATGGGCTATACTCACAGTATACCGTGAGTTACGTTTTTCCAAGCACCACCCCCCAATACAAACTTTACGCCAGACCAAGATGAAAAAACAAATCTAAAAAGTTAAGGAACAAAGTGAACAACTAAAATCCTCCACACCAGGCATTGTACCAGGAACTTTACATATACTTCCAAAATCTAATTACCACATTATCACACATAGCATGAGTATCATCAGCTCATTTTACAGGTGAGGAAACATCTGTATACAAATAACCTGCCTAAATTCATACAGCTAGTTATGTGAAGCGAGGATCTGAACCAGGAAGTCGGATTCCCAAGTAGGCATGGTTAATCACTAACAGTTTTATCCACTTTTTTGTACCCAGTGAGAAATTTATTTTCTATTTTAGATCATGATCCAATATGCACACACACATATAAAAGTAAGCCAACTTCTACAAAACACTATTTACCTTAATAATATGTAGCAAGAAAAAAATGCTTTTAAGATGCTGGTTTTGGATCATGAAATTAGTATCTCATGAACCATGACTGAAAAATGCACAATGACTAATTGCTTCAAAGATACAGTATTTATTACAATTATAGCCACAAAAAAAAAAAGAAAAAACCATATGGCACTAAATGGTCACAGAGCCGAGTGATAATTACGAATATTAAAAAAAAATTGCTATTCGGAGAAAATACAATATGTACATTACTTAGACCATGCATAATGCTTATATACATGGGAAATATATAAATATAAAATAGCTGTCTTAAGGTAAAAAAGGATATGGACAATTACATTTTTTTTAATTTATAAAGGTTTTTATTTTAACTTACAAACTGTTAAAGAGACCAGATAATAACCACCTCGCTTTTATTTTCTTGGCGCCAAAGCAATTTACCGATGTGTTCTTTTTTAAACACCTGTTCCAGATCACGGTACAAAGTTTTTCAATCAGTTGTATAATGGTAGCAAAATTTTTACGCCAAAATATACAACGATAAAACAAATCAAACCAAAATCCCCTCCTAATATTTTTAAAAGTGAAAAGCTGGAACCAAGTAACTTACATTAAAAGAGAACGTATGTTTGCAAACACATTCTAAAGCCACACACATTTAAGCGTTACGGAAATATGCTCCCTCCCACCCCTAACCCTTCACCCAGTGCCTTTGACCTTCCCCAGAAGTCCCTCTGAATCTATCTCAGACTTCAAGAGGAGGGGGCTGGGCCACCTGTCTCAGGTCTGGCTCTGGCCTCCTCATCTGCCAAAGCCTCACAGTACTGTGCTGGCCAGTCCTTGGGGTCTTGATTATGGACTTTGGCCACAAACTTAAGAACTTTCATCTTGCTGGTTTCCAGGTTGGTTCGGGGGCCCCACTGTAATTCATAGTCTACAGGATCAGTGTGGGGTATCCGCCGGTACTCCAGGTAACGCTGCCGCACGAATTCTTCGGTAATAAGTTTCTTTGGGTCCCCAAAAACTAAATGCTTCTTTGTGGGGTACACCCCTAAGCGACGCAGGAAGTCCCAGACCTCCGTTTCCTTGATGGTATTGCCCTTCATAAAGATGAGACCTAAAACAATCATCAGGAGGCCGGTGGTGGGCGTGCCCTGATCGCCTCTCACCTCGGCATCCTCCTCCACCGGTTCCAGGGTGTTGATCAGGATGTAGGTGTTGCTTTTGGGTTCCAGTTCCACCAGCTTGTACCCGAAGACGTACTCGAGGCGCTCGGCGGCCAGTTTAAGGAGGTCAGGGAAGATGTCCTTGTAGTCCCCGATGACGTGCTTCAGTATGTCAGTGCGCTTGATCGGGATCTTCTTCTGGTCCTTAATCAGCAAGAACTGCACCAGCTCAGCCACCTTCAGCTCCAGCTGCTGCTGGGACCTGGGCCCCACCTCCGGGGAGGCCGCGGCCCGGCGGGCGCCCTGCGACGATGCGCTCCGGGCCTCCCGGGAGCTGCCCGCCCCGCGGGAGGTGCTCGGGGCCTCCTCGGCCGCACCGCGGCCCCAGTCCCTCTCCGCCTGGGAGCTAGGCCGGCCCCGGCTCCTCGGTTTCTGCAACATGTCCCCGGCTGCGGGAGCCCTAACGGGCGGCGGCGGCGGCGGGATCGCAGCGCGCAGCGGGAACTGTGGGTTGGCGCGTGGCACGTTTGGGCGGGGCCAGAGGGGGCGCGCGTTGCATCACGGAGACCGCGCCTGCGTCGGCGGAGACTGCGCGTTGCGTCGGGGGCGTCTCCCCGGCCGCGGCGCGTCGGCGGGAAGCCGTGGAGTCTTAGCTGTGGTTCTCGTTGGAACCTAAGGTGTTGTCCTCACCAAACCACCCAGACAGAGAACAGGAACCAAAACTAAGCAAGTGTGCGGCTAAGCTCAGGACCACAAGGGCTCAGGCAAGTACTGCAGAAAATGAGTATTAAGAGTTCTAAAATCGCGAATATTTTTAGATGGAGGGAACTCAAAGTCTGAATGTGGGAGAACAGTAAGGTGAGGAGGAAGGTAAGAGCGTGAAAGTGAAGTAAAAGCATTTCCTTCCACACAAAACGACGTAAAAAGAATAAAAGACCCAGATGATTTCCTAACTACGTTTGCCTTCGCCACGCCCTCCCCTCGGCTCAGGTTCAAACCCTCATAACCATTTACCACCAGTTACTTTCTCTAATGCCCCTAAGAGTTTATTAAAAACGAATGTTTGGTAAAAGCAACGTTGTCTTGCAAGCAAGACTCTTAACCGCGTTTTCATTCTTTCAGTATTTATCGTCTATGCATTAAACTCCCTCTGCTAGACAACCAGGACAAAACCACCACATAAAACACGTTACAGTGAGGTCTTCTTCTACGTTTCGGAAAGCACTTGCTCATGTAAACTGCCTTGGGCCCACAACCACAATTTTAGCAGAAATGGCTAAGAAGAATGCTACAAACAGAAACGTGCTCTCTCAAGAGATTCCCATCTAATTTTGGGCATCACTGATCAAGAACTGCAATAATGTGAATCTCTTAAATTTCTTAATTTTTAATATCTTAGCCTTAGGGCTCAAGAGAAAGAAAAGAGAACGCAGGGATGTCAGTCCTCATAATCTGTGATGTGTGCACTTTGTATATATATTTTTAATTGGGCAGCTCTAATAGCCAACATGAGTCATTTCATTAACTCAAACCATCTGCAGTCTGCTGCCATTACTTCTGCAGATCTTAGCAAATGCGTTCCTTTTCTATTTACTGACTTGCAGAGAAGAAACTGAATTTCCTACTTTGTCTTTTTAAAGCTGCCCAGAAAGTGGGCAAACTTCAAAGAACCAAATCAAATCGAGTTCCTCTTTAATGCAAATATAGTCAAAGGAGAGCAATTCAAAACACATTATTTGAATAATAGTATCAAAACACAACCTTATTAAAATTTCATTAAGTGTTAGTGACATGAAATTTTTGTTTGTAATTCAATATGAAAATGCAATCTGATAATGGCCCTGGAACTGCAAATCTAAATGTAAAATGATATTCCATGTTGTGATGCAAGTACGCTAAGATCTGGTACACTATGAGTAATAACTCTCTGTTCCACACAAGATCTAACAATATATCCTCAAGCATCCATCTTAATGACAGAAGCCTACTAAGAAAAACAAATATATCATCAAGGCATTCATTTTTTTTTAACAATGAGAAAATTCATCTGCTTCATTTTCCTTACAAATTTGGACTTATGTTAAACCTCCTGCAATCAAGAATTCTGCAAAAGGTCCCTCCAGAAGGATCAGTTGTACCCTGAGTTTAAAAAAAGAAAGAAAAAGAGAGAAAGAAAAAAATCAGCAACCAACAGATAACAGAGAAATGGAAAATGAGATGAAAACCATTGTCAACAATTAGGCTGCATTTTCAGTATAAATCTGCAGTGTCCTTCAGCAGCATCTTAATTCAACAGATTGTCATACTCAAAATAGGTCAGAAAAGATACTGGCTAAAACCAGTATCTCTGTACTGTGTCCAGGAGAATTCAGGTATGAAAATACAGACATAAAATAATAGTATTAGAATGAACTTTAGGCATCGTATGGAGAAGTCATCCAGACCACCCTCCATTTTAGAATGACATGGAAAGCCATGGATGTTTGGGGAAAAACTGTCGTGATGGTGATGATGGTAATAACAACACTAACAGTAATAATAATACATAGAAACAACAGCTGACAGTTATTACAAAGGTAACTGTGGGTCAGACTCTGTTCTAAGTGGTCTACATGGATTACTTTATTTAATCACCATGACAACCCTATGAGACCTGTTCATTAGGTTTCTCTTGTCAAAAGGAAGAAACTGAGGCACAGAGGAAAATATTAACTGTTTGGGGGTCCTATAGCAAATAAGTGATGGATCTGGTTCTGAATTAAGATATTGTGCCTCCAGACACTGCTCTTAACCATATGTTGAAGCAGAGAGAACATAAATATGATGTCCTTGAAAAAGCAAAGGTATGGAGTTAGATGGACCTAGATTAGAAATCTGTGTACCACCGGGGGAGCTACTGATGCTCCTTTCTTTCCAGATCAACAAAATGAGATTACCGTAATCTCTCCTTATCCAGAGGGAGTATGTTCCAAGACCCTCAGTGGATGCCTAAAAAACTGCAGATAGACCTGAATCCTATATAGTCTGTGTTTTTTCCTATACATGCATATATATACCTATGATAAAGTTGATCAGTTAGGCATAGTCAGAGATTAAAAACAATAACCAATAATAAAGTAGCACAATTATAACAGTATATGTAATGTAAAGTTATGTAAATATGGTCTCTCTCAAAATGTCACCCTTCTTATGATGTGAGATGATAAAATGCATGATGAGATAAAGTGAGGTGAATGACACAGGCACTGTGATGTAGCATTAGGCTGCTCTTGACCTTCTGACTATAAGTCAGAAGAAGGATCATCTGCTTGCAGACCACAGCTGACCAAGAGTAACTGAAAGAGCAAAAAGCGAAACCACAGATAAGGGGGGACTACTATAATAACCAGGCATCAGGGAACTAATGAGATAGGTTTGCCAAGTACCTAGCACAAGGCTGGGACCGGGTAGTTGATAACAGTTTGCTTCTTTCCACAGGGTTTATGTTAAGGAAACTATCTGAGGACTCTACAAAGCTGTATGTAGAAAGATGTTTACTGAAGTGAAACATTTGTACACACAAAAATGAGAAAAAGTTCTGGAAAAAAACATATTAAGGTGCTATTAAAATTATTTTCTTTTATTTTTTTTATTTATTTTATTTTATTTTATTTATTTATTTGAGAGAGAGAATGAGAGAGAGCACATGAGAGGGGGGAGGGTCAGAGGGAGAAGCAGACTCCCCGCCAAGCAGGGAGCCCGATGCGGCACTCGATCCCGGGACTCCAGGATCATGACCTGAGCCGAAGGCAGTCGCCCAACCAACTGAGCCACCCAGGTACCCCAAAATTATTTTCTTTTAAAAACGAAATTCAGTGTTGATTGTCTTGCTTGGGAGATAAGTGAGAAATATATTCTCAATGATTTTAACGTCCTAGTGACACCACGCCCTAGCAGTCATACACATTCAAATTTTCAGTAAATTCAGTGTGACTTGAATATGACATTTGTGACTTTGTTCAGCCAGTGAAGTAATAAAGGCAAGTGGTTTAAAAAGAAAGACATTTTCAGTTTATGTTAATGACCTTAATACTTTCATTACTAGACCCAAAAGAAAAAGAAGGAAAAATTCTTTGAGGCAAAATTAAGCTAGCTAGGATTTCAAATGCATTAAACAAAGAAATGCCTACCAGTTAGCACTTGCTCTTTAGAGGTCTCTGAGTAATTAATTGCCTTATTTCATCTCCTTGGTAGCACATGACTGCCAACAAGCTCTAATCATCTTTATTATCTACTGGATTCTCCTCTTCATTCACTGGTATTTCTTGCAGAACCAGAGAAAGTTTTAAATTTTCTCAGCAACCTAGTGCAAAAAGCAGGTAAGGCCTTTCTGGGGGAGAAAAGCAATGATAAAAGCATGCAGCCACCATATATGAACAGCTTCACTGCCTTTTCCAGTGAAAGGAAGTGGGACAGTGTGTAGCATGTGAGCAAAGGAGCTGGAGCCGGGGAGGCAGATACTATTTTGGTGAGTAGATAGGAGGAAAAGGATTCCAGATACGTTAATGGTTGCACTAAAATCCCTTGTGTCCACTCATTCGTACAGATCCATACAGGTTAAAAGACACAATAGGACTACTCGATAACACTTTGTCCCTCATGGAAGAATACTTTAAATGGCAACAGAGCTTTCCTTGGCTGGTGGAAGGGGGTAGAGAGATGTAGCTTGATGAGATAGCTCTTTCCAAGCACTGCAGCTATTTGGCCCAGAAACACCTTCTTAGACTCTTTTCAAGAAATACAAACCTTCCAGTTATGCAGGGCCTTTTACTTACGAAAATCATTAAAATCTATTGAGTTATAAAATTAAAAACACATAAGGTCTCAATAGTGGCCAATAAATTTCTTGTTTGCTTATTTTTCCCTCTTGTTCTGCATCTTTTCCTTTTAGGAACTGCTTCTTCCAATCTCTAGGAGACCTTGGTAAGGCTCTACCTTTCTCTCCTGAGTGCATGAGATGCAGGCCAGCCACAGCAACTAGTTCAAAGTCCAATCCACATCCTTTCAGAGGTTCACATAGGTTCTCTTTCTCCAAGCCGACAAGCTGGGTGGTGATGTAAGCCTAGCCACCTTTGCCTTTGCTTGGACATAGCCTGCCTCATGGTGAAGCCAACTCAAAGATCTAAGAGAGAAATAGTCTTAATGCTGCCATCTGAATTTCTGGATCCTGAGTTCAAGGTCAAACTCTGGGGTAACTACTTATTGAAGCAAGTCAAATCTCCTTTTGCTTTACCTGCTTTCAGTTGGTTCTCCTTACTTGAAACTGGAAAAATTCTGGCTAAACAGTATCCAAACCCAATTAAGCAGGAGAATAAAGGGTACTAAGGAATGAGACTTGGTTTAAAGAGAATGGAGCTAGATGAAGTTAATATTACCTATAAGGTTATTGAATGTAATGAGAGGAGATCTGAATACAATTTGACATTTTTATTATTTCTTGGCATGTTCTGTGGTTGAGGAATGCACTTTTGATTTTAATTGCTG